GATTCAGGAGGAAAAAACAATAGCTGCCATTTTTGTTTGTGTTTGGCGAGACCAACTTACCTCGTACTATTTTTATGAATTTCAGACGGTACAAAGCAGAACTGCAGGATGACAACAACGCCAGTTTTACCACACGCTCCGTTCATTCGGGTGTCACCTTCCCGGAGGATTCAAAGGAAGACAGAAAAAGAACAAGCTCCTACGAGCTTCAATCTCGGCCAATGTACGGGAACCTGAGTCCGGAGTCCCGTACGAGTGGTGACTACGACTACCCGGACCCGCAGCCCACGGGATCCCGGGAAACCTTCCCTTACTACGACAATCCAGGACTACAGAAAGATCATACGCAGTAAAAGTACAACCAATTGAACTGCAGTCATGTGCACGTCGGTCTCCTTTCTCTTTTGGCTTGTCATTGTAAAGATGAGTCTGTTAGGTGTAGTCTTTTAGGACTTTCTCTTTAATGATTTTCTGTTGCACTTCTTTTCCTCAGAAAAATGAGAATTCTTTCAGATTCTTATCAAGCCAGGAGGGGCTGAAATAGAGATAGTTTTGTAGTGTGATTAGGAAGTAATACAATTCTTCAAGGTTCAGCTGGCTTTTTCGTTGAAGGTCTATTGAGACGTTAACTATCTACAATGCATGTCCAAAACAGGGTGTGTATGGCAGCATAACATACCATTCTTGCCGCGGTTTTTCCTCAATTTACAGGCATGAAAAATGACACTAATCAAGCCTAAAACTGTAACCATAGCATTCAAGATCTTAACATATTCAGTGGATAAAGCTGAGCAGTTCTTGTATCGTATAATTTTTATTTCAGTAAGCGTAATATCGTGTTTCTTGATTATGCTCGCTGATAAGACTAGCCAAAAATTCTCCTAATTCAAATGATCTTCGCGAGATGCCTAGTATCACCGATTTCTTTAGAAAAACACTACGTAACTACGCGAGGCAACTTTTACACTGACTCGTGCTCAGTAAAATCTGATGGCACTTCCTAGCTTTGTTTATTGCAGCGTTCAAAGATAGAGAGTTGATGCTTTTCATTTAGTCTAAACTAGTGCTTTTATTTTACTTTTATTTTACTACAATAGTTCTTCAATGTACACTTAGTTTACAGATAAATAAACTAAGAAAAAGAGTACTCATGTCAGTTTCGTATTTTATTAGAAATAAAAGACTTAAGTTTCAGTTCTTATAAAATAAAACAGAACGAGATCATGGCACATCAATTACCTACAATTAAATTTGGTTAAAGCTAAAATTCATCGGAGACGAAGAGTTGTAAAACATCACGCTTATCATTCCTATAACAGAATTCTACCATTTAAATTACAATTTAAGAATAGGTATTCTTTTAAATATCCAGCACGTTGATGCTGTTTTTTAGAAAACATAATATATCGCTGCCCATCAAACATAGAAAATAATTTGTTTTTACCGTTTTGAAACATTGAAAAAGTTCACGAACCTCTAAAGCGATCTATGAAGTTATTTCAGCGAGGTGCTACGACTTCATTTTCAGGAAATAAATTACACAGTTCCGGGAATTTCGAGTGAAAGTATTTGTCTTGAAAAATGAATAACTGAGAGCTCTTTAAATTTCTCATCTCCTATTAAAATTTCCTAACATAGCACTAACATTATCCCGTGTAGGAAATGTAACCACACTATGTCTACCTTGGCATCAGTTCTGCAAATTGTTATACTAAAATACTGGCAAAAAAGGACAGGTTTGAATCAAATTATTTGGCTAATTTCTGAGACACTTGGTACATCAAAATTCTTGGCCTGGCATATTTTATTACTTGTAAAATGTGTCACACTGTTCAACTTACTACCTAAATAAATTTTCGCTACCTTAATTGCTTCATTCTATTTAGCCTTGTCCATCACTGCAGGAAACTTAACAATTTTCAGTTCCTTTCCGAAATCACATACGACAGTTGCATGTTCACACACATTCACGAAACGAACGAACACGGAAGTGTCATCGTTTCCTAGCAGAACCGTTTTCACACGTCTCCCGGTCAACACGTCCCAAACTGAGATGTGTCCCTTGAAGAAGAAAATAAACCAGGTTTTTAAGAAAACATCGACCCTCTACCCCCTAAATCAGTATGCATATTCTCTATAGTCTGTACATATTATAAGTTAATAAAGGGGGTAAGGTTCTAAAGAAACTGTGGCGCTGCGTTGGTGGGGGTAACAAGGTAATTTGGTAATATCAACTGAGTTGAAATTGTAAATTGGCCACCGTAAAGAGTAAAAAAGCTGACGTTTCGAGCGTAAGCACCTCGTCAGAGCGAATGATTGTTACCTTTCCTTCGCTCTGACGAAGGGCTTACGCTCGAAACGTCACCATTTTAACCCTTTACGATGGCCAATTTACAATTTCAACTCAGTTGATATTACCAAATTACCATATTATAAGTTGCTGACCAAGTGATTTAGGAGTGATAATGTTTGAAGAAATTAGATGCTAGTCACTATTAAGGGTTAAGGGGTGTTAATAACAAAGTAAGTTGCTATGATATAACAACATTGAGGAATTTTTTACCAACCTGACCACCGGTGATGAACAGAGTTCGCGACATCATAACTACGTTCGAGCAGAGATCTGGAAACTAGAAAGGAAACAAAATATTCAATATCTTTAATTGTGTGCTTTTGTACAACTTCCAAACATCCATCTCTTATGTGGAAATTGTTACCTTTCGCGAAAGAAAGAGGCGTATGGAAAATAGATCTTTTCTGGAGTGTCTGAACAAGATGGGTGCTATGATGGGAACCTTGTATACGTACATCCCCTGACATAACGCGAGCTGCACATTTTGCTTCAAGTTCTTATTGCATCATTGATCAGATCCTGTTATTTTCAATTTTTGGTTCTTTGGCATTCTTTAGGAAGCCTTTATCTCTACCTTACCTGCTTCAGACGATGCAGACACTCGCCGCGCGCCCGGTCCCAAATGCATAACACGCTCTCCAGGCTCACACTGAGCAAGTGTTCAGCTGTACACGTGACAGCGGTCACGGACTTAACATGGCCCCGCAGGTGCTGCAGGCACTCACCGCTGATCACATCCCACACGCGCACACCACCATTGGCAGCACCGCTGATCACTTGACGATTGTTGGTCTGGAAAAAGAAACATTTATAACTTCAGTTCAAGTCTAAGCGCTTGATATATTTTAACCTCCTACGAGAAATGCATGCCCGCAGTTTACTCCAAAGGGTGGCTTATTATACCGTTTGTTTGACTAAATTTCCCTTGCTGCTAAGTAACTTGAATCCTGGTTTCAATGGTCAATTAAAATCACGAACATAGATGATCTCTGATGCTAAATAGCATGCAAGAATTGATAAGAGTTCTTTTTCATTATTATTTTGTTTGTGGAAAGCTCCTGACCAGCTTTGTCTAAACAAGAGCTACACCTTCAACCCTTAGTAGTGTCTTTCTCAAGAATGACTCACTCAAGTTTTTCCAAATCTAATGTGATAAATACTGAGTAAACATTTCGGAGAAAAAATTCTTAAGAAAACGGGTCAAGTGGCCAAATCACTGAAGCGCGAAGTGACAGGGAGGTGTTGCTCCTTCACTTCGAAGGGATTCTAATCCACCACAGTTAACCTCTCTGCCTCACCCCCTCCTCCCTACCTCACCCCCTCCTCCCTGCCTCACCCCTCCTCCCTGCCTCACCCCATCCTCCCTACCTCACCCCCTCCTCCCTGCCTTGCCCCCTCCTCCCCGCTTCGCCCCCTCCTCCCTTCCTCGCCCCCTCCCT